CCCTCCCCATCTCTCTATCCCTGGCTGACCCTGTCCAGCCGAACCTACTTGCTCTGGTGTCGATGCATAGCTCTCCCTGCCGTCAGATCCGAAGCTGTACAACTGTGCAATGATCTGAGGATTCATCTCTTCCCCTCCCCTCCCCCCCCCTCCCCTGTGACACATAATGGGCCTTTTTTTTTTTTTTTTTTTAATACATAATGGGCCTCGCTCCACTACTCGCCAAATGTGCAAAATGAGAATGAATCTTTCGCTAGAACCTGGGAAGAAACAGCGCCATACTTTTTGGCTTTTGTGCATGTGGTCAGTAGTGAAGCGAGGCTTATAGTGGATGAAAATGCCAGGCAATGCCAGAGAATGTCAGCGTATGCGAGAGTATGAGCCTCGCTTCACTACTCAACACTCTACATGGATCTGGATTACTGTCGAACCAGATACATCCAGCATTTTGAAATGTATCGGGAGAAATATCAGCTTCAGATACGTTCAGAATGTTGCGCAGTGGAGTGAGGGCCCTATCTCAGCGTATGCGAGAGCATGTCAGAGCATGTCAGTAAGAGAAGTCCGTTTGAAGATTTTCTTTCACAATAAAATGCAATATTCCAGTTCGAAGTTTTTTTTTTTACAAGCAGTTTGGTTTGAAGAAATTTTGGGGTATGCGAGGGAACGAAAAAAAAAAAAAAAAAAAAAAAAAAAAAAACTTACTCTGTTCCGATGTACATCAGCTTGAGGGCAACATGGCGTGTCTGAAAGTGCGAGACGTCATGGACTCCTGCAGCGCAAGGCCGGTTCGATGTTTGGTGGGATGGAGGCTTTGATCAGAATTCGTCATCATAACCGTCAGATTAAAACACAATACTAATAAAAATAAAAATAACAAAGTTATAATATAGTAATTGTAATAATAAATAACAACAGAAGAATATAGAAAAATAATAATAATAATAATAATAAATAACAAAAAATATATAATAAATAACAAAAAATATATAATAAATAATAAAAAATATATAATAAATAACAAAAACTACTAGGCTACCAGAGTGGCCCGGGGTCACTTGCCCGGCCGGGCCAAAAAATAAATAAAAAAATAAAAAATAAAATTGTTTCAGAATTTATTTTTTTTTCTAAATTTGGTGGAGAGTTTCGATGTGACCCTGAGGCAAAAGTTGTTCAGTTTATTTTTCTGCATAACATACTTTTTTTTTCAAATTTTTTGGAGGGTTTTTTTTTTTTTTTTTTTTGCTGGGACCTTCCCTGGTCCTTGCACGGGCTGGCCACCCGGGACCCGTGCGGCCCGGCTGGTAGCCTAGAAAAAATATATAATAAATAACAGAAAAAATATATAATAAATAACAGAAAATATATATATAATAAATAACAGAAAATATACAATTATTTATATAACAGAAAATATACAGTAAATAACAGAATGTATATAGTCAAACAGAGCTGCCCGGTAAACCATAGGCAGAGAGAGGGAGGCAGGGAGAAGAGGACAACAAACGAGGGAGGGGCTGTGACAAACTGTTTCATCGGAGTTTCACCACCGACTCAGCAATCAGTAGAGGCTGAACCCTCAAAAACAGTCTGCAGAATACCCTAACCTGATGATTACTTACACTGTCAGTGATAATCCACCTTAACCCCGGCTGTGGTTAAGCATCAACGACTGCCCGACAACTGATACCCTGATGTGGTGGGAACCACCAACCACTCCCCTCAAGGTACCTGGGACGAAAATCAAAGCAGACTATCACTCACCCACACCAGATGGAAAACTCTACAGAATGTATATACATATATATATCGTCAAACCAAGTATATTAACAGCTTTTATTCAGTTATTACGGGTGCAGTGCCCAAGGCAATACAGCTTGTCCAAAAGCAACCAAAGGAGATGCAGGGGCGGCGAAAGGCCTCCAGCCCTGCACCTTAGGGCCAAGCCCCTCCCCTGAAGTACAAGGAGAAAGACCAGGGGTATATTCCAAAATCCTGCCCAAGCTAAGTGCAAGGAACATGAATATGGACGAAGCACAGAAATCCAGAATGCAAAATCACACTGAAGTCCAAGTAGTCAAAGCCAGAGCAGATAGCACAATGGAACCGAGTAACCATCCATTTGAGAATGATACAGAAGAATCGTGAGTCAATGTCCAAGCCCAACAGGGCAACACCAACAGCATAACCCAATGTAGCTCTCTCTTGTGAATGGCGCCAGGCACCCTATCTACTCTACAGACTAAGCCTACAACTACAGCAATGAAAGCAACCAGACAACTTGACTACCAGCGAGTGATGATGTCAACACCAATGCCGACCTCCACCTCCACCAGGTACGTGTCCTCTTCACCCACACTCTCCCTTGTTACCCACACAGCGCCCTTCACCTCCGAAGAACCACCTTCGCCCTCACCTCCCCTGCGCCCTATGCAGCCTGGCTATGGCCGCCAAGCGCCCAGTACACAGGCAGCGCCCTACCGCCTAGCGCTAGCCTGTCTCATTCCAGCGCAGCGCAGCTCTGCACAGCGCAGCACCTCGCATTCGCGCAGCGTGCCCGCAATGCCTGCATTGGCCAAGATCCCTGCCCACTCGCCCTGCTTGCCTATATGCCAGTGCTACGTGTGGGCGGCCTCCCTTCAGCCTGCGTCTGGGCCCCAGTGGCTGAACCCAGCCCGATACAGTTGAGGCCAGGGGCAATGCAGTTGCGCCTCTTTCATCAAGGCCTGCGGCCAGATTCAGATAGTGGGCCGATTTCCCTTTGGCATTTTCGGCCTCTATCCCCAGCATGCATTGTCGGCCTCGCGTTCAAGTGCCCAGGGCCTAACTAACTCAAAGGCCCTGGGATCTCCACATTTGCACAGATTCAAGACTCGGTGCACTGCAACCAACTGGCGTGCTGCAACTGTATGGACCCCACTTCGGGAAATGTTTGCACAGAGGGCTCTTATTGATTTGCTGGCCCGCCTTCACTTAGGGCGGGCACTAGGCTTGCTGGGGCCTTAGCCCAGAACATGTACATCATGGCAAGGCCCCTTCTTGAGGGCTCAATCCTCACATTTCATCCCCCTTAGCTTCGAAAGTCCGCTGAGATGCTTACTTCGCAGGTGCCTTCCTTTTCAGCAGTCTCTCATATTCTGCCACCACCTGAGGAGCTGTCTCAATCAGTTCCTCTCTGGTAAACCACCGATCTTCTTTTGGATCCGTATGATGCCTGAATCTGACGCGATACTCTCTCTTGGGTTTAGGAGGTCTTCCTCGACCCAGCGGCTTCGGAACAGGCATATCCCTGTGATCCACAATGTCGTCGATGTCCACTTGACCATCCATGGTTGGGGGCAGCATCGATCTCCTGGAAGGGAATTGATCTGTCTCAGCGAAAGGTGCAAGCTTTGATGCATGAAAGGCTGGGTGAGTGCGTAGGTGTCCAGGGACACGAATGACATAGGTGGGGCCATCCATCTCATCTCCCACTATATCCAGGACTTCCGAGGGACCAAAGTACTGAGGCATTAGTTTGCGAGAGATTCCGAATTCCTGTCCTAACTCACTAGCCTTGACCTAGACACGTTCCCCTACCTGAAATGTGGACTGTCTACGGTGTTGATTCTCAGAAGCAATCATTGCTTGTTGAGCTTTCTTCATGTGCTCGACAGCTTCTTGCAGCAACTTCTCATACTGCACACCATACTCAAGTGTGCCTGGAGTTGCAGCGGGTCGGTTTTCAGGTAGGAGGAAGTCTAATGCTGATCTAGGCTTCCATCCCAAGTGTAGCTGATTAGGACTAACGCCGGTACTACTGTGGACAGCATTGTTGTACAGGCTGGCGATGAGAGGGAACTGCTCATCCCAATCATCCTGGCTGGGTTTGATGTAATGCCTCAGCAAGTGCTGTACAACTCTGTTCATTTGCTCGGCTTGTCCGTTGGCTTCGGGATGATTCCCTGAAGTCATCTGAAGTTGACTGCCCATCTGTTCTGCAGTCTTCTTCCACAGCTCACTTGTGAATCGGACATCTCGGTCACTAACGATTGACTTTGGTAAACCAAAGTCACGCACCCAGTTGTCCTTGAACAACTTGATGACATWGTCAGTTYTTGCGGTCTCTGGCATAGCCACTAGTCTAGCGTACTTGGTGAATCGATCGATGATGACGAAGATGTGCCTCTTGCCACTCTTACTAGTCACCAGGGTGTCCATGAAATCCATGGAAACACTCTGTCCTGGACCARCAGGAATAGGTAAAGGCTTCAACAACCCAAGCGGTGCTTGAGTTCGCGGCTTGTCCCGCTGACAGACCTGACAGGTCTCTACGTACTTCTTTGCGTCATCTAACATTCCTGGCCACCAAAATCGCTGTACTAGGTTAGCACTCGTCTTCTTGTAGCCAAAGTGCCCAGTTGCGTCATGACATTCGCCTAAAAACAAACTACGCAATCGCTCACTAGATGGAACTACTAATCTTTTTATTCCGGCCTTATCAAGATAGAGTAACCCGTCCACCATCACAAACTCACTTTCTGTGGCCTTGTCTTTAGCCTGAAGTTTGCGCATGATGTCCATCGTGACAGGGTCTTCCTGATAGGCTCCCAACAGGGTCTTCCTGATAGGCTCCCACCAATGATTGAGTTACTTCTTCAGATACGCCAAAGTTTGAAACTAGCGCACCTAGGTAGTCTGCTCTACGTGATAGCGCATCAGCAACCTTGTTATACTCTCCATACTCTCCCTTCAGATACTCAAGCTTGAAGTCGTATTGGTCTATGACCTCAATCCATCGCTTGAGTGCGTCAGAAAGAGCCGGTTGAGTCTTGATCCATTTGAGGGTCTGATGATCAGTCCTTTAGTAGAAGAACCTTCCCAATAGGAAGTGTCTCCAATGGACAAGTGCTTTGTATAGAGGATAGAGTTCCCTTTCGTAGGTGAACTTTGCCAACTTCTTCGATGGCATCTTCTTGCTCATGTACTCAATCGGTCTCAACTTTTTCCCATCCTGCTGAGCCAGCACTGCGCCAATGCCATATTGGCTTGCGTCAGTGGTCACTATGAATGGCTTCTGAGGATCAGGAACCATGAGGACCTCATGATTCATGAATGCATGCTTCAATCTCTTGAAAGCACCCTCGCACTCATCACTCCAGTCCCACGGCATGTCAAGTCGAGTTAGATCAGTCAAAGGAGAGGCGACTATAGAATAGTTCTTAACGAAGTTCCTATAGTAGCCGCACATTCCTAAGAATGATCTGACCTCAGTGACTGTCTGAGGTCGTGGCCAGTCTCGAATACTAGCCACCTTCGCATCTTCCGGCCTAATCCCTTCCGCGGATACTTCATGACCCAAGTATAGTATCTTAGTGCGACCAAACTCACACTTCTCTAAGTTGACCTAATACTTGTGCTATCGAAGGAGTGAAAGTACCGTCTCAACATGTTGTGCATGCTCCTCGGCAGACTTACTAAAGATCAGAATATCGTCTAGATAGACCACGACAAACTTATCTAAATGGTCATGGAAGATCCGATTCATAGCGTGCTGAAATGTTCCCGGCGCATTGCAAAGACCAAAAGGCATCACTACAAACTCATACAGACCATAACGAGTCTGAAAAGTTGTCTTGTGTTGGTCCTCAGGCCTTAYAGCGATCTGATGATAGCCGGATTTCAAGTCTATCTTGCTATAGTACTTGCATCCCTGCACCCTATCCAATAGGTCGTCTATGCGAGGTAGAGGCTTTGCGTTCTTCACAGTTATGGCATTGAGGCCTCTATAGTCAATGCACATCCTCAATGTACCCCCTTTCTTCGGTACGAATAACACGGGAGATCCGTAAGGGGAAGTACTAGGTCGAATCCATCCCTTTTCTGTCAGCTCCTTAAGTTGTCGCCGAAGTTCATCTAACTCGGCGGGAGCCATTCTATAGATCCTTCCCTTTGGGGTCTTACTCCCTGGAATGATTTCTATAGCGTGAACAACTTCCCTTTCAACAACTCTTGTGGGCTCTTCGAACAGATCAGGGAACTTAGCAACGACGCGTTCTATCTCTGGGGTGTTTTAACGGCCTCCCCTTTTTCAGAGACATACACAATGTACATACCTTCCTCTTGGTTTTGCTTATAGTAATTGTAAAACGCTGATGCACACAAGCAGCCATAGGTATCTATAATACTACTGGCCTTGAACTTAGTCAATCTGACAGTTCGGCCATCGGGCAACTTATGGTTGAGCACCTTCTTATCCCAGTCGAACTGGGGCTTAGCAATTTCGAGGTAGTCCATGCCTAACAACATGTCGAATGGTAAGTCGTCGCTAACCAAGAACGAAATCTTATGATGAAGTTATCCTTCTCCTACGGACTACGTCCTTGATATAGTCTGTTACAATCATGCGCTCCTTGTTTGCCAAAGTAGATGCTACAGGTCTACTTAGGTGTCGCACCCGGTCCTGTAGGTGCAGCCTTTCCAAACAGTCGCGACTTATGTAATTCCGCGTAGAGCCTATGTCTATAAAGGCACCACATTTGCGGCCTCCTACATCGACTTCCACCACGAAATGTTCCCCTCTAGGACCTTTCTTTAGCGCCACCCAAGACTCGCGAGGGTCCTTGTTTGACCACTCACGCTCCAAGTCTTCTAAGGCATCAGACACATCTATCGTACAGAGCATAGTTTGGTCTAGATGAGTTTGCGGGGTGACTAAAGAGTCATTAGCTTTGGCCTTCTCGTGAAGTGGGGAGGGTATCTGGCCCACTTCACCAAGAGCAGAAGCAGCTAAAACTTTCACTGGCCTCACGCGTTTCCCGAGCTAGAAGCCAGGGAATAAGATGCCCCCATTTTTGGAGGTATCTTTTGCGTAACCTTTGCGTTATGGCACTTGTACTGCGAGTGACCGTATTCCCCGCAGTTGATACAAGCGCCACGCACTCAGCGGTCAAGCCACACGTCTTGATCAAGACCTGCCTTCACCCAATCAGCCACTTTGGTCTGGTTGGAGGCGGCCTTCCACTCTTTGGTTGGTCCTTCCCTCGGCCACCAGCCTTAGTCTTGACTATTGCGGCGAGGGTGCTACCCTCAGCTGTCTCCTCGCCGTCGTACTCTGAATAGTCCATCAGGTCAGTGAGCTCGTCAATCCTAATTTGAGTCCCATCGGACTCAACCATCATCAACTTAGCCCCCTTCTTCTTCCACTCCTGAGGACTCTTCTTCTTCCACTCCTGAGGACTCTTCTTCTTCTTCGTGTCATTCTGCACTCCTGAGGACTCTTCTTCTTCCACTCCTGAGGACTCTTCTTCTTCTTCGTGTCATTCTGAGAGGGTTGAGCATTGCCTAGAGTGGCCTCCAAATCAAAGGCTTTCCTAGACAATGTGTCAAACGAATGGTACTCGATGCGTGCCTCACTAGCCAGCAAGTTACTGATGTTCTCTGGAAGACATCTAACAAACGTAGTTAACAGGAACTGGTCACTGTAGTTGATGCCTGGAACGAGGATCAGGCTCTCCACGGTAGTCGTAAGGTCTCTAACCGTCTTGAATTTTCGTTGGTCTAACTTGTTAATCGCATCAGTGGCTCTTTGTGCCTCCTGTGGATTATGCCATCGAGCTTCTACCATCTCCATGAACTGGTCTAACGTTAAAGACTTAGCCCAGTCCGCTATGCGTCGCCCGTACCCGGCCTTTACAACTACACCATCTAGCCACTTGGCTGCCTTACCCTCGAGGTAAGATGCAACAGTAACCACTTCGTCCTCCAGCAAGGTCCTCTTGGCCTTCACCCAAACCGGGACTGTCCTCAACCAAGTGTTGAGCTCTTCGTCCTTTCTCTCGCCTGAAAAGGCAAGAGGCGGTTTCATTGGGGTCTTAGGATACCATTGACCTTAGGGCTGTCCCTGTTGAGGAACAGGTTGTTGCGGTGGTGTAGCTCCCACCACTGGACCCGAAGAAGAAGATGCAACAGTCTGTGCAACTGCTGCAGACGTACCACTTGGCTGTGTACCAGCTTGAACTGGAAAGGGGCCTGACATCGCCGATAACGGCAACGACGATTGTGCTAGTGGCCTGAATCCTGGCCTTGTCAATACATCCAGGATCTGGTCTAGAGTGCTCTGCATGAAGTCTAATCTGCTGTCCACGTGCGCATGTAACGATAGCATATTCTTCTTCGGTGTTTTCATCTGGTCAGACAATTCTGACTCATCCAAGCCCTCTAACTCAGCCTTGTCAACCTCTAAAGTATCAAGCCTGGCTGCTCTATTTTTTATCTCCCTTTCTCTGTCGGTAGTTTGTTTCAGTTCCCTCTCTAATCGTTCACGGATCCTTTCGACCTGTTGGAGCTCCCTGAGCTCCCTTTCGGGAGGAGTCAACGGGCTGAACTGCGACCCCGCCATTTGACTTGTAGACTGACGAGTACCCAACGAACTAGAAGTACCCGACGATCCTGTTGACATTCCCAAATGGGTCCCATTGGTCCCAGACAACGCATCAGAGGATGCTGCTGAACTAGTCATGGCTGCTGCCCTGACTGCTGCTGCAGCCTGTTCCCTAGCTGCGGTGTTTGCTATTTCCCTAGCTGCTGCTAGTGCACGGGCTCTGCGTAGCCGTCTTTCTTCTCCCGGTTCTAAGGCCTGGAACACGGGCGGGATCCTAAGTGATCTAGCACGTGTGAGTCTAGCATCGTCAACTCTCTCCTCATCGACGTCTGACCCGTTCATCAATTAGGCAAACATTATCTGCACTAGAACCCCCTAGTGGAAATCCTACCACAGCATGTGTCTGACCGGCACCTAATTTTCTAAAAATAGTTGTGTCCGGCAAGTCCCCTACTGTACCGATCAAGTGGCATGTCTA